GGTTGACATAGCTATAGTAGTTTTCGAGATATGTACAAAAAAGTTAGTAGGGGCCGGGGCCACGCCCACTTTTCCAAARRAATTACGTCCAAATATGCCCCTCCCTAGTGCGATCCTTTGTGCCAAATTTCATTTTAATATCTTTATTTACGGCTTAGTTATGACAATTTATAAGTTTTCGGTTTCCGCCATTTTGTGGGCGTGGCAGTGGACCGATTTTGCCCATCTTCGAACTTAACCTTCTTATGGAGCCAAGAAATACGTGTACCAAGTTTCATCATGATATCTCAATTTTTACTCAAGACGGACAGACAGACATCCGGATTTCAACTCTACTCGTCACCCTGATCACTTTGGTATATATAACCCTATATCTGACTCTTTTAGTTTTAGGACTTWCAAACAACCGTTATGTGAACAAAACTATAATACTCTCTTTAGCAACTTTGTTGCGAGAGTATAAAAATATATACATACATATATTTTCAGCGAGTGCCTGAGCTCGCTAGGTCTTGTCGTTCGAATGGACGAAAACACTCCAGCTCTGGGAGTATTAGATGCAGTACCCGCCGAGAGAAGCAGAGGAAGAGAAAGATATCCACTCCGCTGGAAAGACCAGGTGTAGAAGGACCTGGCTTCGCTTGAAATATTGGTGCCACATAGGTGTAACAACTGGCGCGCTGTTGTTAACTCGGCTATAACCGCGTAAGCGTCAGTAAAAAAGAAGAATCATAATCAATACTCAATTTCTAATTTTTTGACGATTCGTTGTTCTTCATTTTATGTGACGATATGTACCTGATTCAATAAATACATATGTACACACATAATATTATTTTCCTACACATTTTTGTTATCTAGTCAACTGATGGCTCTTTTTTTATACGAACCACTTGCTTCGATAAAACACCAACATGAATAATTGCTGTTCTCGCTGACAATTATTGTCTGTCTAAGCTATGTTCGCAAATATTTACATTACAAGCGTATAAAAGGAAGGTTTGATATCGTTGATAATTGCAGAAAATGACTTTTGAGTGGAAAACGCTTATGTACATATGTGTAACTACTTCCACTGCTTATATATGGTACTTACGTACATATATGTATGTATTCAATATTTTATTACATATTTTTACATTTTTAGTATATTTTGCGGGAATTTTTTTTTATAGAGCATTTAATTTTTATACTCGTGCAACATTTTTATAACAAGCCAACGGCAAATCATAGTTTAGCATATAGTTGCCATACAAACTGAACAATCAAAATCAAGTTTTTATATGGAAACTGTTATATTAGTGAAGGGTAATATAGCTTCAGTGTAATCGAAGTTAACGTTTTTTTTTTCTTGTTTTTAATAATTTTTTGAACATATTCACAAATTGTCAAAATTATTTTTATGTAACCTAATTAATAAATTTAAATTTAAAAAATTATTTTGTTAAATAAGATTTTTAATTCAAATTGAAATCTTGTATATGTAAAGCGTTCAAAATAGCCGTTCAAGATTTCATATTTTTCCAACAAGGCGAAAGTTAGTGAAAAGTTTCAAAATACGATTGAAAATAAACTACTAAAAGTCCTAATCTTATCAGTAAATGAAAAATAATAGAAATATTGCAGGATTTAGTTTGTTTTAAATTTAAGTAACTTAAATTTTACTTTTGTCTAATTTGACCGGATTTAGAAGAGGTTCTTAAACGAAAGATGGAGTCTAGGTTAAGTTAACCAGAACTTAACTGACAGCTGGCTGCTAACCAGTCATTGAGAAATAGTCTATTAATACTTAATATATAATCACGTAAGTACTTTATTTCGTATAGTTTATACTCACCCCTCAACTCCACCGAAATATTTCATTTTTGTCCAGAAAATTAATTAGCAATTCACAAATTTCCAAATATCAAAACTCGACGTTCATCAACTACCGAAGAAACGAAGGAAAACTGTTTAGTAATAAAATGGCAGTAATTTTATATAGATTCCACTAAAAAATATTTCCTTATTATTTTTTGTTATTATAATTGGTATAAATGTGTTGAAATTATTGGGTTTCAAATAAGACAATAACAAAATACAAGCCATTTATTTATTTTTTTTTTTATTCTTTTCTTCTTTTTTTTTCATATTCGTGCTAGTAATTTGAGCAGTTAAAAGCATGGCTTTTGCAAGAATTGCATTACATTAGTCACTAACAAATAAAAAAAAACCTTTCAAAATATGTAAAAATCATAAAAAGTCTGTGAGTGCCCTGTGCATGCGATCAACTGGTGGTTGCAACCAAATATTCACGACTATTCAAACCTACTTACGCGGCAAAATTTTTGTTTATTTTTTGTTTATTGAAAACATTTATTTATTGCAAGAAATATGCCATTACACTTATAAAAACCGTGTACTCTTACGAAACAACACTTTTGTATTATTGACCTAGTGAAAACACTTATGTCTCCTTCACTTTCAACAAATTTTGCAATCTTTCTATATGTAGTCATGTTTTTTCTTTATTTTTCTTATTGGCGACTTGAACTTTCGCTCTTAATTGAAAAACGAAGGTTAGCGAACTGTGCGCACGTACCACATATACATACATACGTAATAGTTTACATACGTACGTATGTACATCAGTACCATTTCAATGTGCCACTGCCATTCACCTTTTGCTTTAGGCCATGCAAAAAAGTCGATTGGCTGCAGAAACATAGCGATTAGCGAGTTGGCAATTCATTGCAATCTAAACGCATTTGATTTCCTGAAGCATTGACTTGCTCAAGGTTTAACACTTTTAAATCTAAATCTTTATTTGTTTGTCTTTTATACTACTTGTATAAAATAGGCATTTTTGACCATCTTCATTTACAAAAACTCATATTTCTAGTGCTTCTAATACTTAGTTAGAAAAGTCGTCAAATTTTTGATTTTTCACTGCAACTTCGTAGTTTCAAAATTGAAACTAACAAATATTTTACACTTTTAATCGTGTCTGTTCTATTTCCTTAACATTTTCGTTTGTTTTGTTACATCTTTCGCGCAACGACAAGGTGCTATAAGCATTTGGAAAATTGTTTGTAACACTGCTTTGTTTGATCTTTGCATTGCACATTGCCACGTCAATAATTTATTGCACATTTATTTCGTTGTTTACATATAAATAAGCGTACAACTTTTAATTCATAAAAAACATTTCTAGTCACTCCTGCAAAGTATCTTAACAGCATTGCATTTTATATGCATACAACAACAAATGTGAAAACACACGTAGAATAGGCAAAGAATGTAGAAAATATTTTCGATACCTAGTGAAGGTATGTCCCCTTTGGGTATGTCGGTATGTGCCGTCAACGTCAAAGCGAACAGCTGCTCAGCAAAAACTTGTTTAATTTCGACTGGAGAAGTGCGCCAACACCACACTTCCGAACGCGTTGAAGTGAGTGTACGAAATGATGGAGTCCGATTCCAATGCTGAAATTTGGTCGATGCATGCATGCACAGAATTAACAAGAAAGCATAAAGAGCAAAACAGTGCCGAGCGATATTCGGCGACAAGAAAAGCTAAGCGCTCGCAAAACAAATACGTATTGCAAAAATTATGCGAACGCTCGCAATAATCCCGGCGGCATCGTGGTTAACTCGACGTTTGTGCTACGAGCATTACTGACGGCTATATTAGCGCTGCTGATAAGCGTGCACGTTTGAGATAAGATACCTTAAAGTGGCAGGTGTGATGAAAGATTTGAAAGTGAATGGCGCAGTTAAGTTCACTTATGATTTGTTTGTTGTTTTACTAGATTTCAAGTAACTAATTGAAAATTTACTGATTGTAATTACATAATTTTTATACCCTATACAGGGTATAATAAATTTTCCATGATGTTTACAACACCTCATAATCGCACAGCTCCTATAACTGGACATTTTTATGAACATGAATTTCATGAAAACAACTACATAAGGGCGTTTAAATGTCCGGACACTATTTGGTATTATTTCGTTCAAATTATCTTTGATAAATGGACAAGATTTCATAAAATTGCAATACGCAAAATGACAGTGCGAAAGGAAATACGGTAAAAAACATTAACGTTACATAAATATGTTTACTTTGATCTCATAATATAACATAAAAGCTATTACTTTTGACTTCGTATATACAACTTAATAAATAGTTTCAACTAAAAATCTCAAAAATTTCCGCAGAATATCTACTTACAATTGTAGCGCTCAGTTTAGTCGTTATAAATGTTTACTTCGCAATGAGAGTATATAAGTAAAAATTAAATTAATTTACAAACGGAAAACTCACAAGCTTTTTGTGCGGTGAGAGAGAATATATAAAAGGTAAATATATTTGTGAGCGTTGCTGTTTACATTTTATTTGTATCTCGGGTATGTCGAGTAATCTCTTTTGTTTTGATTATACCTTCTGCAAGTTCAATTTCTGCTTCTTTTATGAAGGCTGAACATGTTTGTATGTTTACTATTTATGTTAGCATACAACACATTTCTTAATACATCATTATGTATACACATACATATGTATTGGTATAATATATACGGCTTACTCACATAGATGATATTGGAAAAAATAGACCGCATTTGGATGAAACTTTATATTTCTACTGATGCTAAGCCGAAACTGGTCTAGAAAATCGTTATAAAAATTTCTTTGACGGAAATGAGACATTTTGTTATTACCAAATAACCCTAAAATCATGCTACAGTTTCTACACATATACATATGCATGTGTGTGTACTTTCAAAAGTAGAAAAATACAATGTGAAAAAAACTATATATTTACATATATATAGTATATTTCATAAGACTTTTAGACTTAAGTTATTAGTTTTACTAAAATAATTTATTATTATAATAAAATCAAATATCAAAAACGAAAACCAGTATTTTGTGCAGTACAAATTCCCGCTGAAGCACAGCACTGTAACCACTGTGATTGCCACACTAATTTACAAGAAGAAGAAGAAACCGCAAAGGTTCTTACGCTTTATTATTTATTGTCTGCGTTAAATAATAGTAATTTAGATAGCAAAATAATTCAACAAACACACACAGTGTGATTAAAATGGATATTCAAAAGTATACACTGCAGTCAATACGGCAAGATTTGATTGATAATAATCTGCAGGTCAAAGCAATAATACAGGTATGATTGATCAAAGTACACCTTTATTGAATTTGTTAACAAGTATATTTTTAAGGATATATTAACATATCGTGGCAGCATTCACGAATTGGAGGCGTTAAATGAAGCTGGCCGTGCTAAATTGGCGGCCTTACGTAAAAGTATACAACACCTCGATGACTGGGCGCGAGATACTGGCGATGCCGAATTGTGCAAGGAGGTGGACTCGCACAGAGATCAATTTTCGAAGACATTACAAGCATTTCGTAAAGCCAATATTTCGACACGCATAGAAATTGAAAAGGCTAATCGAGAGGAGTTAATGGCTATAACGGGTGAAACAGATTTGCGTCAAAGAACAACTGGTGCGGGTTCACGACACAATCGCGGTAGCTTAGTATCACAGGAAAACAATGTAACAGAGAAAATGCTTGCCATATCACGACACCTGTCTGAAACAACACAAAAGAGTGCTATTACATTGGAAAACTTGGTGGCGTCATCGCAAAATGTAGAAGCGACACGTGATGAACTACAAAACACAGCCGGTTCGATTTCGCAGTCTGGCAAGCTATTAAAGAAATATGGACGTCGTGAGTGTACAGACAAGATGTTGCTATTCTTTGCATTTGCATTTTTTCTAGCTTGTGTTCTTTATATTGTGCAAAAACGTTTGTTTTAGACATATGAAAAGTGATTAGTGGCACCGATAATGGCAAATGACAAAATGCATGCGAACTATTTGTTTAGGGAAATTACATTTAAGGCAATGTATAGTAAAGGTTATACTCGTAATTTATGCAGTGTGAAGATATTCTAAAGGGATGAGAATATTACCTAGTAATTTAATATAATTTATATACTATATTTCTTTATACATATATCTGTAACTATATTAAAAAAAAATGCAGATTATTACTTATGCAACAGTTGTACACATTTACGCTTAATATAGCTAATTTTAAATAGTTCTTACTGTAGCCATATTTAAAACTTACGCGAATTTTGATTAATCTTTTGTCACTATTTGTTTAAAATTTTTTACAGAATTTAAAATTTAATATGTAAAATATTACAAAATGCCAATAGATTTATACAGAAAACCAATGCACACGAAAAGCAAAACACAATTCAGTAATAAAGTAAGACAATTAAAAGTATGATTATAAAAAATATTCCACATATATCCAAACCTAAAAAAAATTATTAAAAAATAAAAGACCTTGTTAATCTATAATGTACACGCTAAATTTCCTGTTTTTGATAATCTTTTTAATAATTGCGGATTATTAAATTAAGGTATATCAATAGTGGTTACAATTATGAATGATGGTTAAAATTATTAAATTCTGATCCTTTTCAGTTCCTTATTACTGATTGTCTTGGGAATGATTTGAACCGACAAATAGATTAGTATGACTCATACCCATAAATAAGTTCAAATTGCAATGATTCCTATTAATTACACTAGGTCCAAATCATGAGTGAATTAAATTGTTTCTAAAAAAATTCAATATTGTCCCAATTAAATTTACGCAATTTTTCAGAATCATGGCTGATGAATTAAATTATCGCACATGATTGCGAATGTTTGCTAGTCATAGATAAGAAGAAGCATACTGTCAAATGCTGTTTTGTTTACATCTGTTGCGGCTTTTTACAGAAAACACCAATATTTTGATTTTGATCGGCATATCCGACTTTTTTGTGAAAAAAATAATACAAGTAAACAAAAAATGGGACAATCCAATATGTCTTTAGAGGATTTGAGAGCATACTTCAAGACACATGGGAAAATTCGGGAGCAAAAGGCGCACACATCGAAGGTAATCAATATAAAATCATTTTTAAAAAATTTCAATGTGGCTTATAGTCTATCAATATTGTAATTCCTATAATTATGTTTTACCATTAAGGTACATTCTGTAGGCTGGAGTTGTGATGGCAGACGTTTGGCTTCTGGTTCCTTTGACAAGACGGTGGCAGTGTATACGCTCGAACGCGATCGTGTGGTATGTGTGTATTTGATATTAATGTACTTATGTTAATAATATTTTAAATGTAGAGTAAAGAGAATACCTACCGTGGTCATACCGGTTCTGTGGATCAGCTTTGCTGGCATGCAACCAATGCAGACCTGCTCAGCACGGCTAGTGGTGATAAGACTGTGCGTATTTGGGACATACGCGCTGGCAAATGCTCCACCGTCACGAATACAAAAGGTGAAAATATAAATATCACATGGTCACCTGATGGCAAAACTATAGCAGTTGGTAATAAAGAAGACCTGGTGACATTCATTGATACGCGCACAAATAAAATACGCGCTGAGGAACAGTTTAACTTTGAGGTACGGCGCGGCTATTACTTTGCTGATTTGTTTAGTAATTAATGCACTTCGCTTGCAGGTGAATGAAATTGCATGGAATAATGCAAGTGATCTGTTTTTCTTGACAAACGGCATGGGTTGTGTGCACATCTTAAGCTACCCAAGTCTAGAATTGCAGCACGTGTTGAAGGCACATCCTGCTACATGTATTTGTATCGAATTTGATCCCACTGGTAATATTTTAATTTATAAAACATAATCTAGAAATACTATACATTTCTTTTGTCATGTGACAGGTAAATATTTTGCTACCGGTTCAGCGGATGCGCTCGTCTCACTATGGGATGCAAACGAATTAGCCTGCTTACGCGTGCTATCACGCCTAGATTGGCCGGTACGTACGATTTCCTTTAGTCACGACGGTAAACTGTTGGCATCGGCTAGCGAGGATTTGCTCATCGATATAGCGCACACGGAGACAGGCGAGAAAGTGGCTGATGTCACAGTCGATGCGGCAACTTTCACAGTAGCATGGCATCCCAAGCAATATTTACTCGCTTATGCGTGCGATGATAAAGATGGTAACGACCGAAGGCGTGAAGCGGGTAACCTCAAAGTTTTTGGGTTTTCGGAGTAATTGAAGTTATAAAAACGAAATGGAATAAATGTGAATTTTTGAAATAGCAAATAAATGTAGTTTTCAGTTACTATTTAAATTTCATTGTCGCCGTAACCGTTTAATTGAATTGCCGCATTCAATTAAAAAATCGGCTTGTGTTAAACCCGTGATAATTAAACGTACACTTTAATTTCAGTTGGCAAATAACAGTGCTTGTGCTCAATTTACGCCCCCTTTAAATAGGCGGAGTCGAAGTTAAAACTCAATCTCAGTCTCAGTACGAGTGTTTAACACGCAAACAACCAATTTGTGTTCAATTGTTGGTAATGAGGTTACGTGCGACATGTGTGTATGTAAATTAAGGTGTCCTATTATTTTCAAGTTAAATGTGTTTTTTTTTCAAACATCCTTGAAGTTTGAGATTGTGTCGTAGAAGTTATACGTGAAATGACTTGCACATTCAGAAAAGTGTTGTTTACATTCTGTGTTGCTCATACGCCATGGTGTACTATATGACCATTACATTTGATGCATAACTTAAAGACATTACAATATAACTTTTTAAGAAATGTTTTTAATAATAAAATCAGCAATACAGCCTTTCCAGAGCTGAAATTTTTGTATTAGAATAGAGAGTGTAGAATAAAGTTGTAGATTTGTTTTGGAGATAAAAAAATTTAACGAAAAAAAAATATCATGTTTAGACATGTTTTAAATTGAAAAGAAAAAAAACTTTCGCTTCACAGGGTGTTTGGTAAAAAAAAAAAATTATTTGTGAAATAATTGTGTCACCCTAATGATACACATAATATATAAATATATGAAGTATATATTAGCATACATGTCGGTGCAGCGGAAATCAAAGCAGTAGTAACGGGAGTTTTTTGGTTTTACTTTCCAAAGCATATTTCAGAAAGTTTAACTGTAAAAACCTGCAGTAATTGAACTGTAACTAGTAAACTTTCCATCTGATCTGAGTGCAAAAATAGGCTACTTTCAATTTTAAATATTTACCCATATTACCTTTTTCGGTTATATAGACATGTGTAGATGCACACGTATCCGAATACATGCTCTTTAAAGTGAAGCTACATGATTTTCAAATTGTTTAGACTGTTCAGTTATAGACTATTTTAACTTTTCTATTACAACTTTTTGTGTCCATTCCACATATCAGATTGTCAAACTTTCAATTGTTCCTTAGCCAGAGTCAAACTTAAATTGGAAGTGGTATTCCAAAATAATAGTTTTTTTTAGTTGGTCTGTATATGTTTGCATATGCACTCTTATGGTTTATACTATACATAACATACAAACTTCGCCAGGAATATTGTTATCTATATATGAACGTATGTTTGTGATTCCCACCTGCTTACCGCTCAGCCAACTAACATCGATCGCATACGTATAGCGAAGTTCGACTGCAGCGCCGAGTCTGCAATGCGACTGTTTCACTGAAGTGGTTGGCTGCTGTCATCAGTATCAATGTTCAAGTTAGTTATTATATGTTTGTACAACACTAGATGACATCGCTTTAGAATTGCTTTTCGCAACTTTTTCAAGCTTTGAGTAGTGCATTGTTGTTTTTGTTGTTGGTTAGTAGCGAAATTCGTGTTGACAAGCTCACTATTGCTAAGTGGAAAGTTTAAGTAAGAAGACATGATGGCATGTTAAACGATGGACAAGAGTGTAAATGCTCTTGTATATTTAAGCTACTTGACCACATTTTCAAAGCTCAGTTTTTTTCTGGTTCAATAAAAGTAAATTGTTTGAGGTTTGTTGTGAAGTAACATCTAATGTTTTGATTTCTTTAACGATTCTTCTTCTTCTTAACGAATAAGTTCATATTTTTGTGCGATTTTAGGTAAGATTAAGCTGCTGTTATTATGGCCTGCAGAATGACAGTGAAAACATAACACCAGCAACTGGTGAAGCCGATTCCCAATCGATGATGAGCGGACGTTCCATTGCCCGACCATGAAGAAACTTCTACCGGTTTGAAGAACAACAAAGCGACGGGACCGATGGATTGCCGATCGAGCTATTCAAATACGGCGACGAAGAACTGATAAGGAGCATGCATCAGCTTCTTTGTAAAATATAATCGGATGAAATCATGCCTAACGATTGGAATTTTAGTGTGCTATGCCCAATCCACAACAAGGGAAACCCCACAATCTGTCTCAACTATCGTGGGATAATACCTCTAAACACCGCATATAAGGTTTTATCGAGCTTACTGTGTGAAAGATTAAAGCCCACCGTCAACAAACTGATTGGACCTTATCAGTGTGGCTTTAGACGTGGCAACCGACCAGATATTCACCATGCACCAAGTCTTGGAAAAGACCCGTGAAAAGAGATTGGACACGCATCACCTCTTCGTTGATTTCAAAGCTGCTTATGACAGCACGAAAAGGAGCTGCCTGAAATGTCTAATCACCATAAACAATATCATCCTTGAAATCCAACACACTAGTCGACAGATGCTACTTCGGACTAAGTGCGTGATAAGTAAAGTTCTCGACCAAAAAAGATCAAACTCTATCAGTTACTTATCAGTTCCGTCCTGCTATATGGTGCAGAGACATGGGCGATGACGATGTCTGATGCCGTACCGACAATCGTAGTATTTTTATCCGGCCAAGAACTGTCAACTCTGAAACTTTTCTGCCGCTATAACAACAATATCTGATGAATCGGCCTTACGACTTTTCTAGGGAAAGGATCTGCGGAAGTTTGAGGGCCCTTGAGCATGGCAAAGGGTTTCTGTGAGCACGGAGAATGTCAGAGCTTTATTGAATTATTTGCTCTTAGCAGAGTTCCATTCGTCTTAGCTATGGGGACTTTAATCTTTTTACAATCCTTGAATTCAATCTCAAAAGAACTGCACCGGTTTGGCACCCAAGAATGAATGAAGTAAATTTTCGATTATCTGTTCTGATTTGAACTAGTGAGGCCGTTTTACGACGACCGAAACAAATGGCAGGCTAGGAAAAACTTTCTGGCTCGTGTTTTCCAAATAGGTATTAACCTTTCTTGCA